GTGGACAATACCAAGCATTCTGCCATGTTGAACAGATCCGAAGGTTTCAGCTCCGATGACGGAAGACACGCAAAATTTGGCACGAAAACGCGTCCTATCAGGCAATCACAGTGGTTTCAAAACTACGGAGCTCGAACTGTCACACAGACTCCGGTATGACCTTCTGCAAACCCCAGAACCTAACAACTTCGCCCGTTTCGCCTCTGCAACCGAGCTTGGACGGGGGGTTTCTGGTTCCTGGTTCTTGTCAAGAGCCCCCAAAGGGCGCAACAGATAATGTATACATTTCAAGACGAAACACAAAACTGTTCACGCTGCGATTCTTCTACTCGCCCAACCACAGATACTGAACCCAACCGGAAGCTCAAATCGGGCGGGAAACCCGGCGAATGACCGCAGCAGCGCTTCAAAGCCAGTGGGGTGGGACCCACGCCGAACACTACCTTGACCTCGCTTTGCTGTTGCCTTTGTTTTGTACGTCGGGCTGTCTGCCTATCTGCCGCCTCTTTGTCCTGTTTGCTTTGTTACTTCCATGCCCTGGTACGTAGTGCCTGGTGCTGGTACGTTACCCTTTGAATTTTTCTTTGGACGGGTGTGGGAAGCGTCCTCCTTTATTTTTGTTTTTGTTTTATTCTGATCCGCTTCCGAGGGCTATTTTCTCGAACGGTCGGTGCGATACCTGTATTTTCTTTCTGTCATTTTGTTTTCTTTTTCCGAGTGGTCTGTATCCTATATTTGTTTTTGTTTCCCCGCGGCGTCGTATATGCCGGGTTTTGAGACCACGGGCTCCCCATTGTTTGTGGACTATAGAGCTAATATGAGAAACAACAACAACAACAACAACAACTATCAAAACTTCCGGTCTAGCGAGGGCCAAAAGTGCTGCAGGACTGCCGCACAAGAAGTACAAATAGACGTAATTACCGCCCCCCGCCCCCCCCCTCCCCTCGGTGCTTGCAATCGCGATTGGGTTTTCGTCGCTTGCCAACGACGTTGTAGACCAAGCCGATCACTTCGTGAACTCGGCAACCAGGTTACCGCTTTCTTTTGTTTTCCTCTGTTTCTTTTTGCGGTAACCATGATGGTGGTCGAGTAGATTATAATGTGCGGGGTCAAGAACCCTCACTCCGCGTAAAGGGGATAATCGCACCACGTTGTGTTAAACTGGTCAAGCACCCTCGAGGCAGTTACATAGTTGGGCTCTCGCGTGACCCTCCAAAAACCGTGTATGTGCGGGTGGTCTGTTGGTTGTATGTGCGAGTGATTCTTCCAAAAAAAAGTTGAACCGACAACCTGCAGACGCCGCCAAATCACAATTTGACTTGATATTGAAGGACAAACTTGCAATACGTATTACTCGCACCCACATACGAATTGGCTCTTGCTACTCGAAGAAGACCTGCTGACAGGTCATATGCAGGGGTTTATCTGTCAGTTTTGCGAACTGACATCAAAAAGGCGCCAAAGACCCTAAAAACATGTGATTTTCGGTGCTTTCCACCGGCTCCCACGTACGTGCGTGGAGATTGCGAAAACCCCAACAGACAAAACCACAGCTCCTGTTTCTGCGAAGGTCGCACAACAAACCGCACCACAATCCACCACTCCTACGCCACACAGCCCGTCTTGCAAGATCGAGTACTGATGGGTAACCAACGGACCAAAAACAAAGGACTTTCACAGCGGAGAAAAAAACAAAAATATCGCTCGCAGCAGGCGACTTTGGTAGCTGAAAATGGGAAGGACTTGATACAGAGGGCGTCTCAGCAGCGGTACGACAGCGTCGTTCAACGCGGGGACGTTGCCGCGCTGAGCCGCAGCCGCGACGTCGCGCACGCAGCCGCGGCCAAAGCGCGTGAAAGTAAAAACAAGGCGATGGCAGCCAAACGTAGTGCGGAAAAAGCAGCGGAGGTGGCAAAAAAAGTTGCGGAGGAGCAGCAGCGGCTGGGAGACTTGGCAACCGCTGCGGCGGAAGCCGAACACGCGAGCAGGGTGAGGGCGGAGCAGGAGAAGCGTGCGGCGGCGGAGAAGCTGGAGGAGGAGCGCCGGCGGGTCCAGCTCTTGACGGAGCAGATCGCTCGTCTGGCTTTGGAGAAGAAGGAGCAGGACCGTCTGCAGTAGGCAACCGACGCGCTTTGCGAAAATCACATTACGGCTGTCCTCGCTCCGGGCATCATCAGTTGGTGCAGGAGAAGAATAAGTGGGTTGGGCCTGAGCCTCAGCGGCGTCGTCAGCCATTTCGAGACGACGGTCCGCACGGTCGTGGTCCCCGTAGAGCTGGGCGCAGCGGCGCACCACACACACACTTTATGGCGACTCTGCTGCTGTTGTGCATCCCAAAACCTCACGCAAATATTTTCAAAAAAATCACGCTCCGACACAGGTGTTGGCGGTCTGTTGGTCTGAAAGTTTTCAAATAGATGATATTTCATTGGTCTGCGAGTTTTTTTTTTTAGATCTGTTCAAAAGTAGCTCCGTCAGGACACGAAAAACGCGCATACAGAGGGTCACGCGAGAGCCTAATAGTGCGTATAACAGAAAATAAACCAAGTAATACTGAGCTGTCATCCGTACGCAAGGAAGTAAGCACAAGATGCCGAACGCCCTCAGCAGGATGCAGCGCACCCTTCATGCGACTCGCCGAATACCTCACGGCGCTTCGCGCTTGGTGATGTGAGACCTGGTCCGGTGAGGACCCGGCGTGCTCCGTCCCGGCTTTGTAGTGATGCGAGGTCAAGTTTCTAACGACTACAGTTAGCCCTGCGCCTGACCCCCCTTTTTGGTGTATGCGCGTGGTCAGGCTGTTGGCTGAAAAACCACGAAAACAAAGTTTTTCCGCTTTTCCGGTTGGCGACGCCAACCATATTTCGACTTGATATTTAACAAGAGAATCCCGGAATACTCGATGCCACCAACGAGCTGGCTCTTGCGGTTCACTACACACCCGTGAACAGGGCATATCTACAGATTCATCGGACAGTTTTTCAATCGGCAGGTTAAAACCATCAAATCGTCTAAAAACAAGTAATTTTCGGCCTTTTCAACCTGCTGCCACGAACATGTGCAACGTAAACGCAAATTGCGTCCGATGAAATCGTAGCTATCGTGTCCGCGGTGATGATACAAAAAAACGCTCTAGGACTCGCTGCGCCATCATCTCTCAAAACGAATCCTAAGATCGGGTAATTTTGGGTGACGCACGGGTCAAAAACGTCCCCCGTCTGTCAAAGCAAAAAGAAAGGTGGTGACCAAACAACCACCAGCCGACTCGGCAGCGATGGGGGGATCAAGGGCGCGGAGGCCCACGGCCGTCTACGGGGCGAGCTCCTAGGGAGCGAGCTTTGGAGGGAGCAATGGTAGGGGGGAGGGTGCAAGGGGGTGCTCTGTCTGGGGTTTGGAAGCGGACGCGAAGCAGGCGCGACGGTGCAAACAGCTCAAATCGTTGTGGAGGGATTTTGATTTTTTCGTGCGTTTTTATTTTTTCCATGAACTGACTTTTGGGCCGGCAATGCTTGACTACACCACGGCGCTACACTGCAGCTCTTGCTGCCGTTGCTGCGCCATCAGTAGCAGTGGCTTCCCTGATTTCCTCGCAGTGTCTCTTCAACCCCTTGAGGGCGCGGCAAGGGCGGCGGCGGCAGTTTCTTTGTTGTACTATGTTGTTTCTGGTCGGTGTTTGTTTTTCGTCTCATCATCTCCAAAATTTGCACAGGCGCAACGGCCCTGCCACCGGCGCTACTGCAGCTGTTGCTACCGCTCCTGCACCATCAGTAGCAGTACCTTTCTTACTTTCCTTGCAATGTCTGTTGAGCCCCATAGACGGGCAGTGACGGGGGTGGCTGCTGCAAATTCGTTTGGGTGTGTATTGACTTCGATGAGATCGCTCCCTCTTCCGTGTGTGTGGGACGCGTTGTTGAACTGACTGTTGGGCGACATTGCTTGACTCCACCACCAGCGCTACACTACAGCTTTTCCTGCCGTTGCTGCGCCATCAGTAGCAGTGGCCCCCCTGCTTTCCTCGCAGTGTCTCTTCAACCCCTTGGAGGGGCAGGAAGCGTGGCGGCGGCAATTGTTGTACCATGTTGTGAAAATCAGACCTACCTGCTCTCTCTCATCGGTGTATTTTTTTCCGCCTAAATTATCCCCTCTTCTCTGGAATTTGTGCCCGGGCGAAACGGCTCTGCCGCCGGCGCTACTGCAGCTTTTGCGACCGTTCTTGCGGCACGAATAGCGGTGACTGTCCTGCTCTCTACGCTATGTCCCTGTGGCCCCACGGCCGCGTGGGAACGGGGGCGGCTACAGCAATCCCTTTTCGTTGTCAACTAAAAAAAACCAAGACACACAACAGCCAATTGTGCAGTCATTTCGGCTGTTAAACTGACGTGGCTGCCAAAATGTGGGGATTGATCGGCCACGAAATGATAATTTCAAAAGAATGGGCTGTTCGAAAGAAGCTCCGTGTGACAGAATTTGGGCCAAAATACAGGGTCAGGTGCAGGGCTAACAGCGTATGGTATGCACGACTACGAGTACGGTACCCCACCCCCCCCGCCCAGGCACGTACACCTGACATCCACTCATAGTTTTGAAGTGCACTGCTGTTCGTTTTCGACTCACGCTTGACGTTTCGGCCCACCAGCGGGCTGCCTGCTAGAGCCAAGGTCATGGGACGACCGCGTTTCTTCGTTCCCGACCCCGACATCTTGGTTGACTTGATGACAAGCTGTGAGTTGCCGTTCTCCTCTTTTTGCAATCCCCGTCCACAAACGGTCTTCCAGGCTTATGCCACGGATAGGAGAAGCCAGTTTCCTTGACTTCAAAGCAGCGGTGCCCTCTCTACGAGAGGTGGTACGCGTTGGATGTTTGCCGACTTGTGTGTGCCACATGCTCTGTCGCTCCTCCCGACTCTGGTTAGACCGCCCGGGCCGCGTGAAAGGGAATGGTTCTCGTTGCGAACCAAACGCGGACAAGGCGAAGGTGAGGCACTCGCACTCGCACAATGTCTGTCGTGTTCGCAGTCTCCCTTGAGGCTGATGGTTGCCATGAAGCGCAAGAGAGCTGGCCAGGGGTATGATGACGATGAGAAGCTACGGCATCAGGTGTGGACTGGGTTATCTGCGTGTCATGCGTGCCAACAGAGTACGTAAAAACAAGACCTGTCCATGACCAGCCACCAAAACTCCTTGCAGAAAAGAGAGAGAAAGAGAGAGAGATCATGGTGGTAAGAGAGAAGAAGACACAAGCCTGTGCCAGTTCCCATTGCAGCCCCCACCGCGGTGGTTGCAGTGCCTTGATACCTGTTTGGCACATAGTAGCAGCACTACTCCTTCCTACCATGACACAATGCCTGGATTGAGCTCATGCATCACAATGAGCCGTAGGGGTGTTAAAGCGGCGGAATTTGGGGCCAAAAAAACATCCGGTCCATTCGGCAAAATTTGAGGGGGGCACGCGGATTTGGTTCTTTTTTTGGTTCTTGAGAATCCCGCTATTAATACTGAATAAACTATACATCAAGTCAATTTGTTTGGACAGGTAGCTCTGCGTCCACACAGCAGCATGGCTCTTTATGCGTTACACACACCTGGACACAGGTCCAATAGAGGTGACTGTAGGGTTGGATTCTCTTCAAGTTAAAGGGCGGACGAACAACACCAATAAACATGATTTTTGGGGCTCTTTGCTCCACGCCCAAGGCGACCTTTGCTCCTCTCGGTCTCGCGACCTTACAGCCCTCTACCTTGGGTNGGGCGGACGAACAACACCAAAAAACATGTTTTTTGGGGCTCTTTGCTCCACGCCCAAGGCGACCTTTGCTCCTCTCGGTCTCGCGACCTTACAGCCCTCTACCTTGGGTTTACAGCTATACCACACAACAAACCGCATCCGAATCGCATCAGCCAACCACGAGATCCACATGTCTGAAAACGGCCCCTCCGGTGGGGCTGCAGCGCCCACACCAGCAGACCCTCCCAAAAAAAATAATCGAGGTCCGCGCCGTTCGGCAGCAGCAGGCGCACTGCGCGAAAGCTGACTCAAAACAAAACGAAATTTGAAGAGAGGACGGGGCAGTGTATGGTTGCCGCGTCAGCAGAAGATAACACGCGGCGCGCTATCGAACGCGGCAGCCTCATCGTCGTAGAGAGAACGCTGGAGGAAACGACGGGGGAGTTGGTCAAAAGTAAGAAAATTGTGGAAGAGAGCCAGGCTCAACCTCGCTGCCGCCGCCGCCGCCGCCGCTGCTGCTGCTGTTGTTGTTATTTTCAGCAGCAGCAGCGGCGGCGGCAGGTGTCTGCGTGGCTTCACCGCCCGGCTGCTGCTCGGGTGTGTCATGAGGCATGTGTTCTAGAGTGGGACCGCGCAATGGTGTTGTGCTGTGCCCCATAGCAGGGCGCAAAGCACACAGGCGAGCCGCGCCCTCGCGCGTGTGCGTCAGAGGGTCTTTTCGGGAGGTTCCGACGGTTCCGTGCAATTTCATTGGTTGGTCGATTTTCCATCAGCAAGATCCGAGGACGCTTTTTCGAATTTTTTCCTATAGGAAATTTTCCGCTTTGACACCCCTAACAGTAGTCTAGGATCTTCTGCCTGTCCTCGTAGCAGTGTTTGTTACCGCCACCAACACCACGATGTTCGTTGCCACAAACAACAATCCAGGCGACGAAGGCCCTGACCAAGGAGGCGAAGCGCGTCAAGACCTTCCTGCTCCAGCAAGCGATCCGCAGGAGCAAGGCCGCGGCAGAGAAGGAGAAGACGGGCAAAAACGACGAATCCGCGGAACCCCCGTCGGACAAGGAGGGGGAGGAAGAGGGGGGCCAGAAAGATCAAAGAAGGGAGCAAAAGGGGGGGGGAGGGGAGGAGGAGGAGGAGGAGGAGGAGGAGGATGATTGTGGAACGAGAACGATTCGGGATTCGGAGGCGATCGGCAAAGAGGGCAAGGGCGACCGAGGGGGCCCGGATGCGGAGAAGGCGAATCCTCCCACTGCCGCTGCCGTGCACGGCGAGGAGGTTCTGTTGATCAAGGTGAGACGGCGTTTGTTGCTCGGTCCATTCAGGGGAAACCACCAAAGGCAAGCGAGGTTGAGAGAAGGAGGGAAGTCTGTTTTTGCTTGAGTCTTTAGCAGTAGGTGTAGGAGTGTAGGTATTCTGCTGTGGTGGGCCACTTCAACCCTGAACACCTCGAACAAGAACTTTTTGTGATTTTTGGAGGGTCCAAAAGGAGGGCAAGAGGAACGCCGCTATATTGGTGCATCTCGTGGCCGTGTAGCGTTCGTCGACCGGGCGTTTTTTCTCCCAGGAGATACAAGCAGCTGGTGGGCAGGATGCTTTGCAGTATAGGTTAGCAGGCAGGCACAGGGTTCGGAGAGACGCGTCCGCCAAGGAGTCGGCCGAGACTTGGCAGCGCAAAATGCTTCCGAAAGGACGTCAAAGCGCCATTCCACATCAGTGGGATCTGGCATCTGGTGCCCGGAGTTTCCATTCGCGCAGCACCAGTACCGTTAGGGACGCCCCAATCCTCATCCTGACAACTCTAGGAGCACAAACACAGAAACATATGTACTTGGCCGAGCACAACCAACCGTGGAGATCCTACGTCGCTAGCGCTCTCCCTCCCCTCCAGAAGTAACGGTACTCCGTACTCTGGGCGAGGATGTCTATCTCCCATCCTCGCGGTAGCATCGACAGCGTCCTATCTCTAGACAACAAGGCTCTAGACAACAAGGGCCCCGACACCAAACATCCTTCTCCGCTCTACCCGCCCGCCTACTTGTAGCCGGGATGCCCAATCATCCCATGGCATATCTGGTTTGGCACCGGATGATGATCATCTTCTGGTTCATCCTAGTGAAACGTAGCCGGGGCCGGCGAAAATCCGGCGCATCGCTCCTCCATCCCGGCGTTGTAGGGATGCGAGGTCTACGGTCTACCCACTCGGCATGCGCGTACATGAGTCACACACCCGTATATCCGCTCTCCCGACAATTGCGACGGTGACAGAGCCTGCAGCCGCTTTCGGTCGTGAAGATATGCCTTCGCCGGCTAGGCCTGGCGCATACGGGTGTCCAAGGTGAGGCTGAGGTGGAGGTGGAGGGGGGCGCCGAGCTGCAGCGGCTGGTGGGGAAGGTGGTAGAGCACAAGCGCGTCGCCGTCGTAATGGAGGAGCTGCAGGAGAGGTATGCAGGCTTGTGTCGTTTTTTTAGAGACCAGGATGACTTGATATTCATGTGCCACAATTCGATACAACATATTTTTGTAGCCAACTATGTTGGCGTGCATTGAACGAGAGACAGAATAAGAGGGGGCTAGCTGCTGTATTGGTTCGGAATGAGAGACGAGGTAGAAGGATTGCGTGCTTGGCACGAAGGAGCAAATGCTTGTCGCGCCCTTGTTCCCCTGCCCAATCCCGTTCCTTGCAACGTTCGTTCGTCCGTCCGTCCGGCGAGACTTGCCGTCCTGATCATCAACTGTTTGCGCTCTTTGGCCGCTTCTATTTTGAGGGGGACCGTAGAGTGACGATGAGGAGGAGGGAGAAATTGGCTGAGTCGGAAGGGCGGTCTCTGCCAGGCCAAGGCAGAGGTGCAACAGGAAAGCAGGGCAAGGGCAACAAGAAGACGCCCGCGAAAATCCACGAGCGACAGGTAAGGAGGGTTGGTGATGCAGAGACAGGAGACGGCGACGGGGAAATGGGTGGGAGAGAAAGAAACAAGGCGACAAGAAGAGAGGGGTGGCGGTGGGAGAGATGGCGAGACGGGGAGAGGGAGAGGTGGCGACACAGATTCAGAGTCGGAGGGAGAGCGGTGGTCGGGCAGATGGAGACAGAACGGGCTTGAAGCTGTCACTATGGTTGTCTGCTGTGGTCCGTCGAATGATGGCCAGGAATTTCAGTCGTTTGATTGTGCTGTGTTGTTTCATCGGCACTCCTCCTCCTCCTCCTCCTCCCGCCGACCTATCTGGGCTCGCGTGTTGCGTCTTGTCTTGCCTGTGTGTTGTCGGCGCCGCAGGGAGGGGCACGGAAGAGCGGGGTAGCGCGAGCCGCCGCCGCCGCCGCCACCACAGCCGGCTCCGCGTTCGTGTCGCTGTCGGGGGAATCTCCTAGCGATGACCACGACGCGGGACCCAGCAGCACAAGCAGGTACATACCGCATACAACAACAGGTGATGTTCCGGTTACATCTTGGTGTTGGATTTTTTCTGGCATGCTGCGGTTTATGGGGTTATGCTGACTGCCTACACCTTGTTGAGAGGAGGCAAGACGCGATGTTGTGGTGGGCTTCTCGAGATCATCACAAAGCGCGAGGCTGCGGGGATTGTGTCCGTGTGTCGTCCAAATTTATCTAGTCGTCAAGTCTTGACACCTTTCCTCGTGTCTTCTACGCGCATCAAGCGGGATCACACCGGAGGAAGGCCACACAGGACGTTATTTTCTTGTTTCGTGAGTCTGCCATATATTTTGGGGGGGTGGGGATCGTTCGCGACGGCGCTAGCCGATGTAGAGATGTCACTGACTCATGGTCAGACAACCGTCCATGGTTCGTATTGACACGGACACGGTTGGTTATCCTCCACAGGAAAAGCAGTGCCGGCCGAGATACGCTGCCTCCGCGTCATTTTCAGCGGCGACGCGAAATCGGAAGTTCGGATACGGCGTGGCCCAACCCGGGCAACCACAACTTAGTTAGTATTCATTGCGTGCGTGGGAAATAGCGGATGTCATCGTGCTTGCTTGCCATGCACGGCTAAAACGAAAGAGAGGTCAGGGCGAGAGCGACAGAAGCATCCGAGAAATCAGAAAGTCATCCTCAATAACTGTTATCATTACTCTCAAGTACAAAATCCCTTGCCCCCCCCCCCCCCCCCCCCCCCCCCCCCCCCCCCCCCCCCCCCCCCCCCCCCCCNCCCCCCCCCCCCCCCCTCCCACGTATCCGAGCCTCCGGAAAGCCAGCCTCATAAACTCCAAATACTTAATTCGAGGGTACTAAATATCGTACACCCCCCCTCCCTCCAAACTCGCGCAATCCCTCGCCAGAAATTACTACAACAAGGACATCGCCAACGCTCACGCCAACCCCGCGCTGGTAGGACGGCGACCAAACGGGCAGCCGTCATCATCATCATCAGCAGCGGCGGCGGCAGCCAACAACACCAAAAACAGCGAAAAAGGAAGCGGCAGCGGCGGCGGCAAGGCACGCAGCAGCACCGAGCCCGGGTGGGCCGGCGCCGACCGCGCGGCGGGCTGGGGCCGCGGCGGCGGGCGTTCCAAGAACGGAGGCCGCGGGGGCAGGGTCGGGGGGGGGCGTCAGCCCGACCGTAGCCGCCGAAACGAGGGTCGCGGTGGGGGGGGAGTCAGGGGGGGTAGGGGCGCCGGTGTGCGAGAAGGAGGGGGTGCTGGAAGGGGCGGCGGGGGTGGAGCGGGTAGGGGCGGCAGCGGTGGAGCGGGTAGGGGCGGCAGCGGCGGCAGCAGCGGCAGCGGTGACCGGGAGGACAGCCGCGGGGGGACGGCGGGGGGCGAGGCCTTGCACGGGTCGTGGGTGGCGAAGCGGGCGCTGAAGGACAAGGAGGCTTCGGCGACGAAGGCGTTCAGCGGGAAGAGGATTACCTTCGGCGACGACGACGACTGAATTTTGCTTTTGTGAAGGGGATTGGGCGTGACATTCTGTTTCGTTCTGGATTGGATCGGATTGGATTGGATTGCATCAGTCAATCCTGCTGTGGTCAAGACAGACGATGGTGGAGGTGGTCGTGGGTAGACGATGATGGTCGTCGTGTTGGTTTGGGGGTATGGCCATCGGGAACGATAACGATTTGCTTGGATTCTCGCTTTACAGCTGTTGTACTGTTTCGCTCGTTGTTTCTAACCCGAAAGGTGAAAAACGATTACTCGGTGTAAGCACACAAGCTTAAACACCTGTGTGTAACCCCGGTCGGTGCGTCCAAAACGCATCGAAGGTGTCTCCCAGACTAAATGGGATGGCCAACGCAAGTTTGGCGTCATGCCTCCCCAAAACCAAACAAGAATAGCGAATGAACCACGTACAGACAGACGACACAATTTGCGCTGTATTCGCATTGGTTGCAGCTGATGAGTGTTTGGCGGTGGTGACGATTTCTTTCTGCGAGGTCTTGAGTCGTGTTGGACGTCCAAACACCTGACAACGAACGGATCTGCTTTGGTTGAAATTCCGTTGTCTGAGGGCCGGTGAGTGGCTCTGATGACGATAATGAGTGCTGCGTGTAACCACCTCGAGGAGTCTGGCGGCGGCGGCTTTCATCCTCGGCTCAAAGCGTGGGGCGTGGACTGACAGCGGTCCCGGCGGCTGCTAGTAACATGGTGTCCATGCTGGTCGGTCCTCATGCGGTGTAGCAAGGGCGTCTCTGACGCCACTCTTTCCGTTCGCGCCTGGTGGATTGAACCGCTGACAAGAAAGCATAAAGGCTGCGTTGGTGGAGATGTCCCCAATGTCTCTTGAGCATCGGCAAGAAACACTTCATACTAAAAAACGGCAGCTCGTTGCTGCTCATTCGTGTTACGAAAGCCACAGAGAGCCGGTGGGATTTCTTCAGCATGAGGGCAAGAGGCGTTGAGGCCCACGGTGTTGATTAGGACGACCCCGTTTGTCCGTGCCCTGCCGAGCCACGCGTGTACCAAACGGTGAACAGCCAAGCGATTACGCACCTGGTGCTCTTTTCGAATGAATACGCCCTTGCTTCGGAAAAGGGAGCAATACATCAGGACGAGATAGAGACCCATCATCCGTTGTTACGAGATTGATCCGGCGAGAGAGACTCGAGGTTAGAGAAAGATGCAAGATTGTGCAGTCCTGACCACGACGCGTAGCCTGGTAGAACAGCCTGGTGACTTCTGTGGTTGTGTCCGACTGTCTCGCGCCATACGGGGCCGCGGCAAACACGCCCCGCCGCCGCCGGGTGTTTCGTGCTGCTTGCACCAAGGCAGCCAGCCAGTCAAAGGCGAAAACATCGCCCACCATTTGCTGCGTCGTCGTAGCATGGCTGCTCCCCACACGGAAACAACTGTTTGTCCAACGCCAGAAGGCTCGCCGAGCAAGAATCTCTGGCAAGGCAACCCATTCGAGGAGTCGTCATTTTAGGTTTATTTTTGGCTGCTGATGATGGAATTAGCAGTGAAACGAAAGAGGACCGACAGCCCGATTTTTCGCGAGGTACCCCGTTTGAAATACATGACGGGAGAACAGAAATGAAGAAATCAGAAAATCAGACAGCAAAGGAAAGCGAAATGAATAGGGATCCGCCGTGTTTGTTGAGAAATGACCTCAACGTGAGTCTTGTCGCTATTCGAATGTACGTGCAGGAAAAACAGTATCATCAACGCAACGCTCTGACCCACTCCCCTCCCCGCTGATTTCGATTTCCTCTCCCTTTTCGCCTCTTTTCACCTCGGTTCCCCGTTGATTTCGACTTCCTCTCCCTTTTCGCCTCTCTTCACCTCGGTTCCCCGTTGATTTCGATTTCCTCTCAATTTTCGCCTCTATCTACCTCAATTGGCCCAGCGGCAGCAGTCAACACCAGAATCAAACATTCTTCAGTCCGTGCTTGTGGGCATGTCGAATCAAACCACTTTCCAAGAAAACGCGACGGCATATCAGCTATGTCCCCCCCCCCCCCCCCCCCACCCGGCACGCCCAACCATCACACCTCGGATTTAAGCGAGTGCAGAATATCCGAGAGGAACGGCTCGCACACACTGATGCACACACCGGTGGGGGGAGGGGGGGTGCACACGCACACACTGCGGGGCTCCCTCTATTGGCGGGGTCTCTCGACGACAGTATCATAAACGCGTCCGCATAGGCCGGTCTATGAGGGTGCATGCGCGTGGGATGAACTGGCAATGCACTACGCGCCGTCTGGTTTCCCTCACGTATGTACTGGACACCAGAAATTCCACGCCCTGTCATGCAAATGGCAGGCGAAAACAAATCAGACAACGGGGAACCTTCCCCTTGCCCTGTGTCTCCAAAACCCACCTTAGCTAGGCGAGGAAAACAAAACGCCCACTGCCCACGTACCGGCCCTTACGATTCATGCGCGTCGTTGTTAACATCGATATCTGCTACTGGTACTTTATAGTCACACTGCCGCACCGCTCGCCACGCGCTCCGCAAGATGGCTGCCGAAGACAAAACGAGAGCCGACAAACGGGTCGCGCGCACAGAGGCGAAGCGCGAGAGTATGGCGCAGAGCGACCACACAGATCACGTGCGGGCTAGATAAACTAAGAGAGACGATGCCCAAGCAACGGGCACGACACACAAAAGCACGTCAGCGCCTCCGCTCACACAGCAGAAGGAGACAGGCGAGCCGTTGATGGCAACAACGGCCAGCCAACCAACAACCTATACAGCACGGAACGACACGCGATTCTGTGAAACCCCCCACACACCCCCAACCCCTCCCATCTTTGCACAACAACAACGCACGAATGCCACCGGCCAGGCAAAACGAGGTTTGTGCGACAAGTCTCATGCCCCCCACGGAATTCTTTATCTCGCATCTCAGCTGTTCCTCCCCCACGATTCCGCTCGTGTTCGCTCAACAAACATTTATGATGTGCTTCCCTCACCCCGAAGAAGCCTCAACACATCCAAACCCTCGTCGTCCTGCTACTCCTCTTCCCATGCTCGAAACCCTGCCGTTTTTCTCGTGATAGGTACGGCTTTGTTTCCTCATGGCGCGTCACCCCCCACTCTCCCCGCCCTATGGCTGCGCCCTCGTGCGTCTCCACCATTCCGCCTTTTTCTTTCACCGTCGCCGTGTCTTTCTTCTGCGGCAAGGTTGTGAGTACTTTCTGGTCCGGTTTTGAGGCCGGATGCCGCTGTAAATCTTCACTTCCGGCTGTTCTTGCGGAGCGGGTTCTCGCGTGCGGTTAATCGCCTCTGGAGTTGGGCGTGGGTCATGTTGCGGCCAATCTTGCTGTTGCGGGCCACCGACACTTGCGCCACCTACAAATGGAATAAGAGAGAGAGAGAGAGAGATAACGAGAGAGAGGGAGACAGAGAAGAGACAAATAACAAAGATTTCAAACGTTGCCAAAAGCAGCATGCGGCATGCTATCGGTAAAAAATCACCGCCGACACGGTTAACGAAATCTACCTGTACGAAAACCACAACATCGCCATTGCCTCCGCAAGTACTTGTCCCCCTCACACGCAGGCGCTCCCTGTTGTGACGGTCGCCGTCTCACTGCCCAAGCAAAAAAAGTAAAAGCTTACTACGACAAAGGACCTGGCAGGGGGCACACAGGTCCTAAACCAAACCCAAACTCCAATTTAGCCGATTCTTTATTTCATCCATATGTTTGCTTACTTCGAAAAACCTGCCTATGCTGTACTGCGTCTGCCTCACCTGGTCCCCCGTCATCCCCTCGCAAGCCTGGTGGAGGACCGCCTTCTTGTCCACGTACTGGCGGCAGGACGCGGGCAGCCGCGAGACCTCTTTCAACTCCTCGGCGAGCTTCAGGCACTCCTCGAACGACGCGCCGCTCGCGCTGTCGGCTGCGTCGGATCGCACGTACGTCACGTCGCATTGTGGGTCCAGCAAAGGTCAATAGACGTATCATGCTGCGTGGTATGTTAGAGTTTACAGGACACTTGTCCTGGCCAAAAATGAAACAAGATGCAAAGTTCTTTCACAAGACACGTCGCGCGCGGGTTTGTCCATAATAAACTTCGCCGACTAGTGGGGGGAGGGGGGACACTCTGTCCCACGCATGCATCCACACCCACATCTAGGACACCAGGGCAAGACGTGCTGCTAATGCTTGCATTGTGTCTCGGCATAGTCGAAAGTGCCCTATTATAGCAGAAGCCGCGAAGATCTGACTGCAGAGCCCTGCAAACCACAACTCTGAATCAGTATCATGCATATGATGGCGTATGCAAGACCGCTGACAAATGGACATACCGACAAGGGCAAAAACTCACGGCTACTGTGGCGTTTAGATGATACAATCGAGGTCAACGTCATCCATACGGGTGGGGCCGGGGGTGGGTGCTTGCCGGGGGTGAGCACTAGACTATTTTACAGTAGTCTAGGCAGCAAAATTGATCAAACAAACATGTAGGATAAAATATTCAATCCGTGCTTTGGTGGTAGGGTTAGGAATAGGGTCTGCGTGCCCCCTCCCTATTCTTTTTCTAGATACTCTTAAAATCCTGCGTAGGCGGTCCTTGTTTTATTTTACTTGATTCGCAGTGGCAAAGCGACCGTTAAAACGAAGCATTGCTCCCACATGGCAGGGGGGGGGGGATGTACTCATAGTCGTGCATGCCGTAGTCGTTAGACCATTGACCTCGCATCCCTACAAAGCCGGGACGGAGCACGCCGGGTTCTCACCGGACCAGGCTCTCACATCACCAAGCGCGAAGCGCCGTGAGATATTCGGCGAGTCGCATGAAGGGTGCGCTGCATCCTGCTAAGGGTGTTCGGCATCTTGTGCTTACTTCCTTGCGTACGGATGACAGCTGCGTATGAATTAATTTATTTTCTGGTGCTTTCACTTCCAGAGACAGTTGTAAGCACTGTGTAACTGCCTCGAGGGTGCTTGACCATTTTAACACAACGTGGTGCGATCATCCCCCTTGCGCGGAGTGAGGGTTCTCGACCCCGCACAACATGATCTACTCGACCACCATTACGGTTACCGCAAAAAAAAACAGAGGTAAAAAAAAGCAAAAACGGAAACCTGGTTGCCGAGTTCACGAAGTGAATTGGCTTGTTTTACAACGTCGTTGCCCAGACGTGCAAGTCATCGATGACTGTGCACGTAGTCAAATGGCGAAAAAAACGGGAGCGTCTTTCTTTGTACTTGTGTACGGTACTGTCAGGTGTTGGTTCTGCTCATGTCTCGTGCGCACCGCGTTGGCGGCAGCCGTAAAAAACACAATGGAAGAAAATGGAGGCTGGGGGTTGCGCAGCTGCGAAAAAAAGAAAGTGTTTCATGACAAGCACAAATACGATCAGTACTATGAATAGGGAGAGAGTAGATACTTCGAAGTGACAGAAACCGCCTGGGGGGGCAAAGGTGCTGGTGAAAAATCAAGTCCCAATCGATTAGGCAATCACACCGGCTGTCCAAAAACTTCATTTGTCGGTGCTCGCAACGACAGCGTCGGCGAGTGCGACTGGGACATACTCCAGGTTCACTTGTGTGCTTCACAGCAATGCCAAAAGCAAATTTGCACGAAACGTCAGAACGGCATTTACAGACCACAACCCTGCTATGTGGAAATGCAAAATACGCCGGGAAGCATGGTGTGGTGTACTCGCAATGCTGAAAAAAAGATCCCACGCGGAGAACACCACANGGGGGGGGGGGGGGGGGGGGGGGGGGGGGGGGGGGGGGGGGGGGTGGGGAGGTACTGACGTAAACGCCCGCCGTGGAATAGTCGTCAGACTATTGACCTCGCACCCCTACGGACGGAGCGATACTGCATGCCGGGTTTGGGCCGGCTCAGGCTACGCTTCATAGGGGATGAACTGCAAGCTGGTCATCATCTTTGCGCTTGAAGTTGTGTTTGAAGTCGAGAGGGGGTCGTGGCAACGGGAGGGGACGCGAAGCGAGGACTCTTCGTGTGTGCCCCGCGCCGGCACTATAAAAAAAACACTTGTAGCAACAGAAAATAACATGTACTTGTAGGATTAAAAAAAAAAACGGGACCGGCTGTGAAGAGCATTGTAGCGCTCGGCACGAAAACCATATGGCACGATAGATAAGGAAGTTTTCGAAGTATTGACTTGTGCTCCGGACAACCAGACGGCGAAAAATGTCGAGCGGAGAAGGCCGTACTTGTACTCAGTCTACCTTTCCGCGGTGCTCAAATGTTAGGGTTGGGTACTGAACCAGTACGTACTGCCAGTGCATATGCACTGGCAGTGCATATGCACTGGCTGCGTCAGCAGCCAGTACTCCAGTACATTCTTATATTCGCAGATTTCCTCTGTATTACGCCTCAAGAACCAGCGGAAACCCATATACTCAGACCTCCTCTGAGAGACAATTCTAAATAGTATATTAGAATTGCATATTACTCGAAACAAAATAATTTACGAAGTAAATAACGAGCGTAGTAATAAATTAAAATACCTCGTNCCACTCAGGCAGAGTCCGAGCGTCTGTTTTCCTGCGCTGGAAACATCGTCACGAAGAATCGCAACAACTTGGCCCCGACCACCGTCGAGCTGCTCGTCCTTCTGCGCCACTCCTGGAAGATAGTCGAGGAATGGGAGCAATCGAACACCCCCGCGGCCGCGAAGAGGGGCTAGGGTAGTGACTGTCTTTGATGGGGAGGATTTTGTGTGCTAGCGGCAGTAATTTGTGCGCAGTGTAGGTTTCGGTTGGGTAGCTTTGGTGCTGTTCGTATCTGTAGCATTCTGCATTCTAGCAAGCTGGTGGTGCTTCTTTTGTTGCGCACCTCCTGTCGTTTCCCGTTTCCTGGTTAGCTTTTTACTTTTTAGCTCTTAGCTGGTTTCTTGGTATACGTTCAGGGCTGCCGTGTCGTTGTGTCCTTCGTAGAGTCCAGTATACGATAGCGTCGCTCATCAACCCAACTGATGGATGCCACTTGGTTGCTTGGGAGTAATATTATAATGTTTCAATATTTCCTCATGTCCAAAACCAACAAATTCAGTCGTTGAACTCGAACTTTCTATCGTTTTCCCCGCGATAGTGCCTCTGTCAGATGGGCCAAAATCACTCATTTTTTTTGCTCTAGTGAAGCCAAATCGCGTACACAAGCGCCTCCGCAGCCGCGACCGCGCGGCTTCGCCGCGCCACCAGTGTACTGATCGGATCCAGTTTACTGGCTGCTGACGCAGCCAGTATACTTTTTACTGGCGCGCAGCGCCAGTACCCAACCCTATCAAATGTACTTCATCGTCAACACGAAGCACGTGTAGGCTATACAGAAATGCATGTATGAATATGCCCTGGGTTTGCATTTTGCGAGGTCTGTCTATTTTAATACCAAAACCTTGCATTTAAGGGATCTGTCCGTCACCCTTTCGTTAATTTTGCACAAAAGAAAGGTCTCCCGATGGGGGCACTTGTTTTTCGCCCAACCATTTTTCGTTGCACATGCCTCTCGACGGAGTATGTCAAACCCCGTTATCTCTCTCTGTCTCTCTCTCCTCCGTGTACCACACATATACGCAGGCTATACATGCATGCGCTCAACTTGCTCAACACAACGAACTGACTGACTACAACGTGGGTGGGATCTACCAACTCTTTGGAGAATACAGCAGTCCTTGTAGAGCTCCGGCCTCTTCCCAAAGTCGTTTGTGTTCCAGTGTTGTGCACAAATACAGATGAGGGAAGGCAAAAAAAAGCTCCCAACATAAAAAACACCCTGCTTGCGGGAAGAGCGGCCCCCAGATCAACCACCAAACGCTACACACTACCTCGTTTCACCTACGATGACGAGTGAGAGTACCTAAATCGTTTGTACCCGAGCGCGCGGAGAGCCTGCTGCGGCGTGACGCGAGGACGATGCGCGCACTCACGCATGTTCCTCCTCCCAGAAAAGGCATCATCGCGCATATTTTCTTCGTGAAAAAAAGTAGGTACCTCTGACCTTGGGGTATCAGAGACGACCACGCGCATAGCGAGGACCAGGATCAGTCGCACGCCGACTGCCGCGCAAGCGGGAGCAGCAGAGGTGGTGCGCATTTTACCCGAGATATGAGGAAGGGCGAGATAGTTTGCGGTGATATGAACAGGTTGTAAAAGGGACATACGCCGACGGCGGGCAACATGCAACTTTGAGAGGGGTTGTCTTGCGATGCGATGCGCACTGCTATCGTCTCGGTCTCGGAATCACACTCCAACACAGCACAGTATTTGCAGGAAAGGGGGCGCAGTAGGCCAAGGGAGTACCGGCCTCTCATGCGCCTTTTCTCCGAGCGATCAAGCGCTTAGCGCGCCGCGGTAGATGATACATGCCGAGGGGCGTCAGCTGGTGTTCGGCGGATTTGTGTGCACTCTGAGGTGATCAGGCAAGGGTCAACCACCCGGAGCCTCGATACAGAACACGAGCATGCACAGCGCATAGGATCGTTGGGAGGAACACGCGAAAGCGAGGCAAGAGGCGCGAGAATGTCTGCCCTTTTGCGTGGGTGTCCTTGCGGCGCTCCACGAGTCCCTCCCTGGCCAGGGCACATGTCTCGCACTTCAAGTGCCGCTCCTTCCTCTTCTTCTTCAGACTCGCTCTTAGACACACTTCGTGTTCAACAAAAAATGAAAAAAAGAGGGATCCGACCTTTCAGCTATTTTGTTCACTTACCGTCCTTGGGGCGCAGAAGGATCGTCACCTTGCGGTCGATAACCTTAGAGTCCGCCATTATCGTTGGGCTTTGTCTGTGCGTTTGCTGAAAATCCGTCGCTTCGCCTCGCCCTACTTGCTTGTTTCGTGTTGTGGCGATCCGAGGAAGGAGCGAGTTGAAGCCGGGCGACGCGCGACAGGCGGGGATGCGGGGACAAAAACGCCCTATCCCCGATCTCCGGAGCCATTTTTTTTTGCAGCACAAACAGCAGTAAGGAGATGGATTGCGCTGGCTCTCTACACACTATCACGCTCTTGCACCTCTCTGCTTTGTACCTAAATGAACAGCAGATGCCGTCTCGGCGGCACAGCCTTGCATCGAATGAAGACAACCTCGGCAGCACTGTGTAGCGAAGAAGAGATACATTCACCACAGATAGAGGGGCTGAGTGAGTTCGACTCCTCCTCATCATGACCCCATCACCCACCCCGGCGGGATCTATTGCTGAATCAATCGCGCTACTTTTGGCAACACCATGGTAGCTGCTGTGGGAGACTTTCGTTGTGGTCATTCGGCACCCGTTTTCACGTCAACGGATGTGACGAAAATGCAGATCAGGGCAAAGCGGACTCCGCGAGCGCGTGCCCAAAAGAGCAGAAAACTCTCTTTGCTTGCAAGAACAGAGGTGGCACAACAGCCACGGTTGGTTTGCCGATGGTCGCAAGCGAGGGGTAGCTGAGACAGATTTCCTTGCAACGCGCCCGCAAAGAACATCACCATCGAGATACTCCTCACATGCCGAGTGACCGCAATCAGAAACGATCGATATCGGTGGCAAACGACCAGAGCTGCGAGTTCGTGTGTAGGGAGGGACGATGGGACGGACGGTGCGAACCAAAGGCAGAGTTCTGTCCTCGAAACACCCGGACGGGAGTTGGCCCGTTACTGGGAACAAGAGGTACAGAGAAACGGCTTCTGTCCCACATCAACCAAAGCCCCCCCGGTATCTGCGCCAACAAAATCAGCGCGTCGGCACAGGTCCAAAACGAACCAAAACAACATTGATTCTATGCGCATTGGAGGCGAAATCTTTGAAGCAACACAAAAAAACAAGCGGGATTCCCACACGAAAGATTTCTGCCGCCCATGTGCACGCGCGGCATATTTGCTCGAGTCTATGGGCGGTCAGAGTAAGACGCGGTCATAGTTCTTACGACAGAAACCTTAAAAGCATGGACGAAACAAATTGCGGCCGTCACCCGAGACCGGCTCGCAACAGAGATTCAATCGCAGAGATTATTCAAAGAACAAGCTGGCACCTAGTATCATGAAAAAAAAGGACGCACACCTGCATTTTTTTTTTTTTCTGCTATTGTTGGATTGTGTCGTCTGCGCCTCTCGCCCCTATCCTCCACTTCTACCAGCTACACGACCCAACCGGGGTAACATAGGAGGGGGGGTTGGACCCCCTCCTGCGGTTCCTGTCTGAGATATTTTTATCGCGAGAAGGGTACAGCAATCCCTTCTCTCGCGAATTATGGAGTCGATCAAGTTTACCTACAAAAAGCTTTGCAGCGCGTCGCTTCCTTCGGAGACCAGGATTCAGTAAGCGAGAAAAAACTCTCTCTTGTCGGGACTCGAACTCATGACCTGGCCCTTAGCAGCCTACGAGGCTACCTACTAGACTACCGGGGCGACCGGTGGTATTGTACACCCCTAGATCTACACGTCCAGCGCTCTTCATAGATTTGACCTTAACGCAATACACCCTGGCCCAAACTGGAAGAGGTAGAGAGAAGAAGGTTAGACGGCAACGCCCACAAGAGACGATACTACAGCAGTACCGGGGGTCAGGTACAGCAGTAGACCATGCCCAAAATAGGTCCGCCACAAATCCTGTTTGGTCTGCGTCACGCATCCGTTGGGCCACAACCCCAACCTCGTACATCCCGCCCCCCTCCAATCTGTCTTGCGATTTCCTCTCCCTGCTGCTGCAACAGCAGTGCACCTGCCGTCGAAGATAGCACGTCCCCATTCCGCAAACGCTTAGGTCTGGCGCACCACTCCGCGTTCCCCCTACTAGCAAACCAGCCGAGCGGGTGCGGTTATGTGGCCCTTCGTGCCAACATAGTATTCTTGCTGCTGTCCGGATCCTGCTCCTCCTGCTTTAATGGCGCCGCCGCTCCATCTTTAAATTTCGACCCTGCTGCTTTGCCTCTACTGCTGCGGCCGTGCACGGAACGTCTAGAACTTGTCCTGTGCTTCCCGCGCCTCCTGCTCGTAGCGTGCCTGCTCTCTTACATACTCTTCCTCCTCTTCCGCTTCTTTCTGTCGGGCCGCAAATAACAAGGGGGGGAGTAGGATATCAGNGGGGGGGGGGGGGGGGGGGGGGGGAGCACAGAGGAGATGGACACAAAGGCCATACAGAAGCGCAGCTACGGCCACAGAAATGGCAAAATAGCCGGCATGTTGCGGCTACAGAAGAAAACATACACCCCAATCAAATATCATACCTGACACCCGCGATTGCTACAAAAAGGTACCCAAAATTGACACCAATGCCCCGCACAACTTAACCGCGGTCGTGCCAAGACGGTAACACGACATTGGACGCGCCGTTCAAATCAGTCTGGCGGCCAAGAAGAGCACAACACACTTGCTTCGCACATGCTGCCGCAGTGGAGCCAAGTATCTACGGAGGGACAGAGCTGTCGATGGCTGACATTGTCGTGCGCCGCGCGGCAACACAAGGTACCATGTCCCTGAATGTGAGCGAAATTGCGTATCAGACTCAAGTCTCTACGGATGCCCTTTCGCTCATGCGCACCGTTTTCCTTCTGTTGTACTTGGCGTCGAGCCTCTGGAACATTTCGGGGTATCTTCCCTTGTACTTCTTCAACAGCTTGTCCACCTTTGAGGTCAGGAAGAGGGAGGGGGAGAGAGAGCCGCACGCGGAGAGACGTAGACGCATCACAGGGTCAACACGGGACGGTTGCTGCTGTGGCTTTTACACATGTCGGCACGACGCCGCTTGTATCAAAAGTATCAAGCACGCATCTTTCGATTGCTCTCTTGATTTCAAACTCAGCCCTATACTCTACCGCTCGTGCTTGTGCCATTTCGTGCTTCTCGAACAGTTAGTCAAAGGGTGTGGCAGTCTTTTGGCCTCTCTTCGAACCTTGGGCCTCTCGAATAGCGCCTCGTATCCACATGCCTTAGCACGCCTCCCTGTACTAGCATGTTTCAAAGCGGGATGCGGCCACGCAACCTCGTGGCCGTTTTCTCTCGCGGCTGTTGTGCATTGGAGCCTATCTACATATTGCCGTGAATGCACACATATCTCTCCCTCCCTCGACTCGAGAGAGAGAGAAGGAGGCGAGCTAAGCTCAAGGTCGGTCATACACGACCACAATTGACCATTTAGCGCAGAACCTGTAAGACGCCGGTCTCACAACAGCGGCGTCAAGTGACCATTGTGTCCCAACACGACATGGTACGCGTGTTTCTATCCTATCCAGCCAGGTGCACTCTCGGACCATGCGAAGGGCCAGGTCATGAGTTCGAGTCCCGACAGAGTGAGTTTTTTCTCGCTTACTAAATCCTAGTCTCCGTAGGAAGCGACGCGCTGCAAAGCTCGTTGTTAGTAAACTTGATCGACTTCGTAAGTCGCGAGGGAAGGGATTGCTGTACCGTTCTCGCGATAAAAATATCTCAGGCAGGAACCGCAAGAGGGGGTCCAACCCCCCCCTCCTATGTGACCTCGGTTGGGGCGTCTAGCTGGTAGAAGTGGAGGATAGGGGCGAGAGGGGCAGACGACAGAGTCCGATAATGGGAGAAAAACAACAACACAAACAAAACTCTCGGACCATGTACCCCCCATCCCCTGCTGCGCTAGACTGCGGCGAGGTGTGCCTCATACGCCGCGCTTGCCCCCCGCCCTCCATTCGGGATACCCGCCCCCCGCCCCTAAATCTCTCCCTCTCTCTTACATCTCGCATCTTGGTTGGGTTGTGCTTCTTGTAGAACTTGGTGAGGCGTGTTCGCGGGTCGTCCGCCAGCCCGATCTTAATCCCCCAGTCGCTATTCGCCACGTAATCGAACACGAAGATCAGCCCCGTCAGCACCACCGGGCCGAACATGACGAACATCAGAATCAGCGGGAGTATCTGCCGCCGACAACAACACCACGGTTGAAGAAAACGGCAGTGTCCATCGAGACGTCACGGAGGCATGATCGCAGGGGGGAAGCAGTGTTGTTCCGCAGAAGAAACGGGTAGCACATGTCCCCACAAGGCCGTTCGAAGAACATGCTACGAGATGGGCAATTTTGGAAGAAGAGGGGTGAACACGAGTTCACGGCACGTCGTACAGGTAGCCAAGAGCTGCAAGGGTTTCCAGCAGGCTGATTTTTCGGATTGGTCATGAGTGTGATGCTGACTCGCCCTCATCAGCGCCGTGGCCGGTGCATGATCGTTGAGCTCGTTTGCCTTTCAAAAGGGGAAGGCCAAAGAAGGTCCGACAATACAACGCTGCAAATAGCGAGCCGAGAGACTTGCCGAAATCGAATAGACTGCCCAAGCCCAAGAGAGTACCGAACGAGACTACTGATGGTGTAGTCTACACAGCATCTCCGGGAAGCTTATCGCGCAGGAATACCGACGGATCGTTCGAACACCGAACAGCAACAGCAGCTCATACTTCTTGAACCGAATGTTTGTATCGATGATACGCTATACCCCTACTGCTGGAAAAAGGATGGGGACCAAGGTACGTTGCATAAGACACCACGCACACGCTGGACCGATTTTCAAAGCTGATCTCACTCCACGACAAAGAGGTTCGCACGATCAAACGGTACCGCTGCTGTGTGCATGCTACGCTGATACGTTCCGAAAAGCGCTCGACCAGACGGTTCCGCCGCCGCCATTCTCGGCACCGTCACCGCTGTTTTTGCTGCACAGCCTCCTTGTGCATGTACGGATAAACGGTCTAGATGTTGCACGCGTTCCTACTTGGTCTACGGGTGTGTGGGTAATGAATGGTACAATCATTGCCGGTTTTCATGCTGGAGAGCCGGAGAGGCGGCGCAACCACACACGCATTCTCCTACTTGACCACGCCGTTCCAGTAGGTGCCAGGGTACTGCTGTACGACTTGCTTCAGAGCGAGGGCGTCGGCAGAACGTCACAGCTTCGGTTGGCCTCCCTCGGAAGGTCAGAGCTGGCGCGCGTCGTATGTTTTAATCGAAGTTGCTGGGGACATCGGCAGCAGCAGCCGCAATCATACACTGCATGTGTACTCACATGCCAAACCTCACCTTGATACCCTCTTTTTTCGGTCGTCTCATCTTCGCTTGCGGGTCGTCGTCATCGCCCTCTCGCTTCAGCCCCTGCAGGTTCCCCAACCTCGGCCCCCTAGTCGACATGATACGCTCTCCTCTCTAGAACAACCAGCGACACGTGTGTGTGTGCGGCAGCCCGCTGGCGAAGCGCGCGCGAAGCTCAGAAGCTCAGCGGCGCCGAAAAAAGGCGTTCAACACCGTGATGCGTTTTCGCGAACTGTCGCTTGAACCCTCTCGATTTGAAGGATCACGCCGGCACACGTGTTTCGAGAGCAGGCACGAGAGAGTGAGAGGAGGGAAAGGGGCGTGAACCTGACTTTGTTGGGCGTGCTTTGTTCCTCTGCGGCCAGAGCGGCTGACGGGCAGCTGAGAAGGTCAGGCAGAAAGCCGGAGGAGTAGAGAGCATGAAGGGTGTCTTCTGGACCGTTTGCGCAGTCAGCGGCTTCGCGAGCGTCTCGCAGGCCTTCTTGCAGCCTTCGTCCATCATCGTCTCTTCCGCAACTCGTGAGTGGCGTGTCGCGTTGTTGCCGAATGCGTGTCCCCACTCGAGCCAGCCTGTTGGACAAGCTAGAGTGGTAGCAACGCTATGTTGGTGGTACAGCAGCAGCAGCTGCGGTATGCACAAAGCTACGACAGCGTGGTGTGTGCGTAACAGCAGAGACAGAACGTTTTTCAACGCCAACTCTCTGACCCAAATGGGACTCATATTTCGGCTGCTGTACAGCTGTTGGGAACCTTGCCCTCTTGTGCATGTTCATGTGCGGGTTTTCTTGAAGCCTAGCGGCGCACACAGCTGAGGAGATCGATGCGTGGGCCTGTTCTGGGATTCTGTGGTGTTTTGCGTTTGGCTCGACGTACAGTGCTTTTCGACCGAGCTTACCGAGCATGTACGTGCCAAATTGCACGTCCATGTGTCGCGCAAGATCGGATTTTTTGTCAGTTATCGACGCATCCAGATGACGTGGGTTGTGGTTGCTAAATAAATCACCACAGTAGTTGAACGCCTGTGAAGTAAGATCTATCGCAGAGGGATTCATGAATAACATGGAACCGGTCGTGTATGTAAACTCGTGTATGAAATTATCAGCACCATCCTTGCATGCTACCATGCATAATAGACTATCACAGCATCTGCTGCGTAAAATTGATTGCAATCTGGTGGACAAACACAGGCCTGTACTTCGTCTCTCACCAAGCTACATGCAGCTGTTCCGTTCCAGCGTTCCCGCCTTTTCTACAAGAAAAGCATGAACCTTATACAATGCATACCCCGTTTTTGCAACTTTTCAGCGAAAGGAGAAAAGAGGCAGCAGCGACTCAGGTAAAGGACCCAGTGAAAACGAAAGTCTCGTGGTGCGGTGTTTGCTGTCGCTCGCACCTGTTCCCTGGTACTTCGCGTCCATTGTGTGCGTACGTAGGACTCGTTTTCTCTCCGATACTCTGGTCTACATCGATTGCAGGTACTCCACACCATGGTTCGTAATTCGATACCAGTCCTTCGAAGAAAAGGACCCCCGCCCTCTCACATCAGGTATCGTACTTCTATATCGTACCGGCAGCAACCTTCGCAGGTTTCTTTTCCCGTACTGCACCAGTGCACACATGAATTTGAAATACTGCTGTAGCATCTTATGCGAGACTGCGAGACCGGCAATACCGCTGTACGTCACAACAGCCGCTGGGGGCCCCGGCGTATTATGGTGGCATGTGCCGGTAGGCCGTTCCCTCGCTCTACATGGAAAATGGCTTCAACAGCACAAACGTCGCGGAAGGGCATTGGTACCAACTCAGTCAATCGTGCGGGTTCCCCCCTAACGTGTGTTTTAAACCTATATCTAAAGGGTAGGAATAGAAGGGGACTGCAATACATACCGCGACATGGCTAGTGTAATCTGTGACGAGAGCCTCCGTCCACGTCATGGACTAGCCCACATTCGAAGAGGACTCATCGGTTCGCTCGCGGCATGTCGTACGCGCTCGTCCCATGATGTCGGAAAAGAGCCTCTGTGCACATGAAGACTCATTGCGATGCCTTCCTGCCACCTGCTGCCACCGCTGTTACCCGCTCTGAAAAGTACCGAACACTGCTGCTCGAATAAACGCCTTCCTACCAACGCTATGTAGAGCGAACATCCCTTATGAACATGCCCATACAGGACGCCCAATGGAAAAAGATAAACAGGGGGCAACGCTCGAAGAAAAAAAGTGAAGGGTAGACGAAAGATTGACGCACGGGCAAGTCTCTCTTCCCGTTCGTCAATCGTTGGCTAACCCCGTCCTTGTTCCACCCACGTCCTCTTCTTGGGCTACGTCTGTTTACGGGATCGGATGACAGATAACCGATCTCGTTGTTGCCAACCTCCTACCGCAGGTTGCATACGTAAGATATCACACCCCCTGCACCAATTTCAAACCTCTGTTGTTCCACGACGAAGACGATGCCGAAGTCAAATGGTATGTTTTCGGAAAGCTCTCGACGAGACGGTTCCAACGCCGCCATTCTCGTCACCGCCACTGATCTCGCAGGGGGTGTCATATATCATGCAACCTAACGGTATATACGGAGTACAGCAGTAGCTTCCTTTGCTGTACGTGTCCCGGTAGAGACAGTTGCGTCCGGAAGGAGGCCAAGCGCGCCGGAAGCCCCTTCGGCTGCGGGTGAAAATACTAAATCTTAGCCCCAACGTCAACCTGCCGGTCTGGCACTTGGAAGCGTGTAAGGACAGCCGCAGCAATGTGGCTAGCGGTACCCCCCGCAACGAAGGGTCTCCGGGAATTCGAAACCTGCACTAATTGTGGGGGGCGCCTACTGTACGTGATATACCCCGCACTATGCCGGGCTTCGCGTTGTATGCCACGCAGGGGGGCATGTGTATAGCGGGATTTCTGGCGTCCTGCACCAAAACTGGATTACGGGCCGATCCGGGGGGGGCAGCGGGGGGGTCTATTGTTTACCATGTCACAGCTTCTTCCCGTTCATCAGCACTCGCTGCGCTTACAATCGTTTCAGACTTGTCAATACCACCGGCCGTCGTAATCCCTTTATGCCCACACTAGCTACTACCGGACCAACGAACCGCGCTGTTTCCTCCCAGTTACCTCCCTGTGCGAAACATGAGTACTCCCCCCCCCCCCCCCCCCCCCCC